AGAGGGAAACCATGGTAAAACAGACCAGCTACCCTCATCCAATAAACACAGAGCTAGAAAATCACAGCATCCGAGGGGCAGGAAAGTCAACGATTCAGACTAAAATCCTTTGCAATGACTGGTGCGGTGGGGGTGGCCAGAAATAAATCGAGGGAGAGGGGTGGGGCTGGGGGCAGGTTAGGTGAGATGGAGATAGTGGACGCAGATAGGGGGTTATTGTGATTGATCTGTGGGAAGGGTGGAGCAGATAGGTGAGTAGGAAGATGGACAGGTTGGGGGAGGAGAGATTTTGAAGCCGGTGAAGTCAATATTCAGGCCATTGGGCTGTAAGCTCTGAAGGTGAATTATGAGGTGTTGTTCCTCCAGTTTACGTTTGGCCTCACTCTGACAGAAGAGGAGGCCATGGATGGACATGTTGCCAGGGGAGCGGGAGGGGGAGTTAAAATGGTTGGCAACTGGAAGGTCGGGTTGGTTGATGTGTGCAGAGTGCAGATGCTCTGTGAACCAGTCCCTGAGTCTGTGTTTGGTCTCCTCAATATAGAGGAGACGTTGGGAGCAATGGATACAGTAGATGAGGTTAGATGAAGTGCAGGTGAATCTCTGCTGGATTTGGAAGGATTGTTTAGGGCCTTGGGCGGCGGTGAGAGGGGAGGTGTAGGGGCAGGTGTAGCACCTCCTGCTGTTGCAGGGAAAGGTACCAGGTGTGATGGAAAAGTTGGTGGGGAATGTGGAGCTAACAAGGGAGTTGCGGAGTGAACGGTCCCTGCGGAAAGCAGACAGGGATGGGGAGGGAAGCATCTTTTTGGTGGTGGTGTCTAATTGTAGGTCTAATTGGAAGATGATGCGTTGTATTCGGAGTTTGGTGGGGTGCTATGTCAGCGCTAAGGGGACTCTATCCTTATTGTTGTTGTGGGGAGAGGGTTTGAGGGCAGAAGCACAGGAAATGGGGGACCTCCTCAACCATTTAGGATCCTAATCTCATCTCCGACCTTCTCCGGGATCTGTTCAACGTCATTACCCAAACAGTTGCTCCAACCACCCCCACGGATTGCGTGACGGCCATTTCTGCTGAAACTACTGACCATGTGATGACTGCCAAGTTGTTACTTCTGCTTCTGCCCACATGACCATTCCTATCCACGCACCCACTCCAGTTGCAGTTGCAGTCTCCACCCCTACTCCTAGCTCCAGCTCAACACTCAGCCCCACCCACAAGCCCTGCCGGGTATTCACCACTCCCCCAGACCTCCCCCTCACTGAGGATGAATGGTCACTCCTCAGCAAAGGACTCGCTATCATTCCCCTGTGCCCACATGAATTAATTCCACATGCACCTTGATGTTGAGATCTCTCTCTGCCACCTTTGTCTCCACACCAGTTTCTTTGAACGGGAATCGAGCCCACCCTCTGCTAACCCCTTCATCCCACCTCCTGGACGCCCTCTCCCAGCCTCTCACCCTCCCTCAACTTCTTCATCTCTAACTGCCAATGTGACATCAATTGCCTGAATCTCTGCACCCCTCACACTTACTCCAAACTCTCCCTCTTTGGAACATGCAGCCCTTCACACTTTTTGCTCCAACCCCAACCTAACCATTAAACCCACCAACAAGGGGAGGCGGGGGGTGGGGGAGTGCACTGGTAGCACGGAGAACTGACCATCGCTGAGGCCGCACGCCAACTCTCTGACACTTCTTCCTCCTGTCCCCTCAATCATGACCCCATCTCTGATCACCAACACATCTCCCAGATCATCAACAACCTCATTACTTAGGGAGATCACCCAGTACCTTTCCCTGCAACACCTGCCCCTACACCTCCCCTCTCACCTCTGTCCAAGGCCCCAGACAATCCTTCCAAATCTGGCAGAGATTCATCTGCACTTCACCTCACCTCATTGCTCCTGAAGTGGTCTCCTCTGTATCAGAGAGACCAAAAGCAAACTTGGGGACTGGTTCACAGAGCATCTGCACTCTGCACGCACCAACCAACCCGATCTTCCAGTTGCCATCCACTTTTACTCCCCTGGTGACATGTCCATCCATGGCCTCCTCCAGTGTCAGAGTGAGGCCAAACGTAAACTGGAGGAACATCACCTCATAATTCACCTTCAGCGCTTACACCCCAATGGCCTGAATATTGACTTAACCAGCTTCAAAGTCTCTCCTCCCCCAACCTGTCCATCTTCCTACTCACCTATCCGCTCCACCCTTCCCGCTGACCAACCACAATAAACCCTTACCTGCATCCACCTATCTGCATCTTACCCACTCTCCTCCCAGCCCCACCCCCCTCCCTCTATTTATTTCTGGGCTCCTTCCCCACTTCTTGTCATTACTTTCCTGCTCCTCAGATGCTGTCTGACCTGCCATGCTTTTCCAGCTCACATTTATTGACTCTAGCTTCCAGCATCTGCAGTCCTTACTATCTCAGTTAGCCACACATCTGTGGTGGGAACATTGTTGGAGTCTATAATTAAGGATAGAGTAACTGATCATCTCAAAAAATTTCAGTTAATCAGGGGGAGTCAGCATGGATTCATGTAGGATGGATCATGCCTGATAAACCTCACAGAGTTTTTTGAAGAGGGTTCAAAGGTGGTTGACAGAGGTAAACCAATGGATGTTGTTTATATGGACTTCCAGAAGACTTTCTGATAAAGACTTACACAAGAGACCGAAACACACTGGATTGAGGGAAAATGACTGGCATGGATAGGAAATTGGTTGAGTGGCAAGAAACAGAGAGTTGGAATAATGGGTAAGTACACAAACTGGCAGGATGTAACTTATGGTGCCCCACAGGGATCTCTGTGGGGGCCTCAATTATTCCCAAAATTCATTCATGACTTGGATAATGGCATAAAAAGTCAAATATCCAAATTAGCTGATGACACAAAACCGGACAGCGACAGTTTTGTCAACAACATAAAATTACAACAGGATATTAATAGATTAGGTGAAAGGTGTGGCAAATAGATTTTAATATAAACTAGGGTGGGGTCCTCTATTTTGGACTGAAAAAGGGTAGACCAGGATACTTTTTATATGGCACAAAGTTAAAATCAGTGGATATCCAATGAGATTTGGGGGTTCAGGTGCAAAGCTCTTTAAAGTGCCAGGAACAGCTGCAGAAAATAGTCAAGAAGGCTAATAGAATGTAAGCTTTCATATCCTAACAACTGGAATATAGGGATGCAAATGTTATACTGCAGTCATTCAAAACCCAATTAGACCCCACTTAGATTGCTGAGCAGAACTGGGCACCATACCTTAGGAAGGATGTTATAGCCCTGGAGGAAGTTCAACACTGGTTTGCAAGGATGAATCCTGGACTTCAGGGGTTAAATTATGAGGTGAGATTGGACAAATTGAGCCTTTATTTTCCAGAATTTAGAAGGTTAACGGGAGATGTAATGGAGGTTTTCAGGTCAGTAACAGGGAAAGACAGAGTAGATAAACAGTTTCCACTGGTTACAGATTCTAAGACCAGAGGGCATAGTCTAAGGATTAGGGCAAGGCATTTAGGAAAGATGTTAGAAAACAGTTCTATACACAGGGTATTGGGTCTCTTCCTCAAACAACGGTCAATGCTAATTCAACTGTCATATTTAAATCTGAAGTAGACAAATTTTTATTAAGCAAGGCTATCGAGGGATATGGGCCCAAGGCAAGCATAGGTTAGAGACAAAAAACTGCAGATGCTGGAATCCAAGGTGGCCAAACAGGAGGCTGGTAAAACACAGCAAGCCAGGCAGCATCTGGAGGAAAGGAGAAGTCAACGTTTTGAGTATTACCCTTCTTCATAAATATTGTGGTTGCAAATACAGGTCATGAGGGGAGAAGGAGATTATAAAGGGGAGGCTCAATCTAAGTTGTGGGAGCAGAAAGGGTTACAAGAGGCTACTAGGGTGTGACAGGAAACAGGATAGGAGGGAGGAAGTAGAAGCTTTGAGATGGTTGGGATGAGAAGGAGGCTGTACAAAGAATAAGGAGAGGGCAGAAGGAGGCTACAAGGCATCTGGGGTAATGTGAGATTGCAAGGAGTGTGAGACAATAGGGAATCTGCAGAGGAAACAGAATAGTTTGAAACCCATCAACAAAGGAATACTCAGTCAAGCTGGAGCCAAGAAAACATGAAATCATAGAGGTAATGTTTGCCTTGAAAATGAATGTGAAAACTATCTTCAGGTTGCATAAGTTCAAGAACTACCATGAGGAGAAAATAAGTACTATAAAATATATTGTAATGAACGTTTTGTCAATTTTTTAATTCAATCTGAGATTGAGATCTGAAATGCAGTGAAATGTAGTGAAAAGTGTTCTTATAGTCAGGTTAATGCTTTAGCTTTGTGCATATGCAATGGAAACACACTATTAGCTAAGACCTCACCATTCTGCACAAGGTGTGCTTTTGGTGATAGCTTTTTGTGTGTAGATGTGTGCATCAGTTATTTTGAAAGCACCTTTCGCTGGTAACGCAAACTTCTAGCAATTTAAATAATCTGGTGTCTAGAAAATGAATGCCTTTTTTTGTCGAAGCTTTAAGTTTAATAGAGGATTGATAATCATTGAAAATAATGAAAAATCTGTCTAATTCTGCTTCTGTCAGAGTTCCTATGCTCTATATGCACAAAAGGTATTGTTACAATGTGGCTGCATCACCTAACAAATGAATAAGTGAAAAAGGAGTTGCAGAAAACGAAAAGGTGTACTCCGAATTTTTCAAAATATTAGTTTGCCCCAATTCTAATGATTGTGCAATTATCAGTGGTCGCCTCTACATCTGACCTCATGTTCATGGGAAACTGCTTCTGTTCCTACCAAGTATTGGACATCATACTATGATGCATTTACAGCACAACTGTAAAAATTGTACTTCCTGTAACAATGATTGATGAGGTTGGGCAAAAGAACAACAGAATTTTGGGTGGTGGACAAAATTTTAATGAAATATAATTGCATAATTGAATCAAGAATATAAAATGATAGCCTTTGCAAGAAATACAAAACATAAAAAAAACTGTTAGAATTTCTATTCATATGACCAGTGCAATTAGGGAGAAATTAGCTTAACCAATGTAAAAGATCACAGAATGTTAAATGCAAGTTAAAGCAATACATTGAGTTTCTGGCCTTTTTAGCATTGGTTTAAGCATAATTTAGCCTAGGCTGAAATAATGACAATGGTGAAGTTCATTCAATTTCAGTGATGAAATTGTAAGCTAATTACCAGCAGTTTCATTTCTGACTTTATATTTTATAATCAACCTGCTCACAGGTGGTATTACACAATTCCAGAGTAGGTGGAACTTCAACCCAGGCATCCTGGCCCATGGGTAGGGATGCTACCACTATGCTGCAACAGCCCTCAAATATACACGCCCTAAGTTCTGTTATCCAAACCATGTAGCTTCTTGTTCTAAATTAAATGGTTTAAACTGCATTTCAATAACCCAGTAATGCAAATGGATAATGAAAGTTTATTTGGTAACAATAATAAAATTTGAAGAGCATAAAAACTTTAAAATGATCATTATTGTTGCTGGAAATGAAGAGCCAATGTAGTGTTTCTAAAGAAATTTAAAACTTAGAATTCTACAAGTAGTAGCTAATCCATCTTTCTTGGTATGCAACCCTCCATTTCGATTGCTTCAGGCCAATTTCCGTATTTGTTCTTTGCTCTATCGTTCTTCAGGATCTGTTAACAAAAATGTATCTTTAATGAAAATACTGCCTACATACTTAAAGTAATTTTCATTTCTTGATTAAAATGCAGCAATCCTCGGTGACATTTGTGATTTACTATTCTTTATTCGGGACTGAAGAAGTTTTCTTTGATTTACTGACCACCTGAAAGTTTACTAAGCAACAACAGGTTTTCAGGTGTCCCAATCTTTTCCGGTTTCAAATTTAAAACATGTCTTAACCCTTTGGCAAAGCTGCGACTGTGTATCCAATCTCAGCCCATGTTCACAGCAGCACATCCTTTTCCATTGTTATCAATGAGGTTCTTCAGATCTGTTCTTCTCAGTTGAACAGACAGGCAGCAAAATCTCAACATCCTGACATTTATATTTTCCTTTATTCATTCACAGGATGAGGGTGTCGCTGGCTAGGCAGGATTTATTGCCCATCCCTAATTGCCCAGAGGGCAGCTAAGAGTCTATCACATTGCTGTTGGTCTGGAGTCACATGTAGGCCAGACCAGGTAAGGATGGCAGTTTCCTTCCTTAAAGGACATTAGTAGTTTTTCCCTGACAATTGACAATAGATTCACAGTCATCATTAGGTTCTTAATCCCAGATATTTATTGAATTCAAATTCCACCATCTGCTGTGGTGGGATTCGAACAGGGTCCCCAGAATGTTCTCTGGTCTCTGGATTAACAGTCCAGCGATAATACCACGAGGCCATCAACTCCCCAGCATGTAAAGATTGTATTGGATTCACACTTGAGATCAATTATGAATTGAATGAACATTTACATCCTTAGATAGGTTTTTACCCCATGCCCCACAGCTACAGCTATCAGTGCAGAATCACATGGATGAAAAATAATAGTTTGTTAATTGTCAGATAAAAGTATAAAATATGAACCATATTGTTTGGCAAAACAGGAATATGTTAATCACAGAAGTTAAAGAAAGATGGCAAGGAAAAGCCAGGTAACTGTAAATTGGCGAGCCTAACATCAGTGGTGGGCAAGTTGTTGGAGGGAATCCTGAGGGACAAGATTTACATGTACTTAGAAAGACAAGACTGATTAGGGATAGTCAACATGGCTTTGTGCATGGGAAATCATGTCTCACAAACTTGATTGAGTTTTTTGAAGAACTAACAAAGAGGATTGATGAGGGCAAAGCGGTGGACATGACCTATGTGGACTTCAGCAAGACATTCAACAAGGTTCCTCATGGTGGCCTGGTTAGCAAGCTTAGATCACACAGAATACTGGGAGAACTAGTCATTTGGACACAGAACTGGCTTGAAGGTAGAAGACAGAGGGTGGTGGTGGAGGGTTGCTTTTCGTACTGGAGACCTGTGACCAGCAATGTGTCACAAGGATGACTGCTGGGTCTACTGCTTTTTGTCATTTATACAAATGATTTGGATGTGAACATAGGAGGTATGGTTAGTAAGTTTGCAGATGACACCAAAATTGGAGGTGTAATGGACAGCGAAGAAGGTTATCTCAGAGTACAATGGGATCTTGATCAGATGGGCCAATGGGCCGAGGAATGGCAAATCAAGTTTAATTTAGATTATGTGAGATGCTGCATTTTAGAAAGGCAAATCAGGGCAGGACTGATATACATAATGCTAAGGTCCTGGGGAGTGTTGCTGAACAAAGAAACCTTGGAGTACAGGTTCATAGTTCCTTGAAAGTGGAGTCCTAGGTAGACAGGATAGCGAAGAAGGTGTTTGGTATTCTTGCGTTTATTGGTCAGTGCATTGAGTATAGGAGTTGGGAGGTCATGTTGCGGCTGTACAGGACATTGGTTAGGCCACTATTGGAATACTGCATACAGTTTTGGTTTCCCTGCTATGGGAAGAATGTTGTGAAAATTGAAAGAGTTCAAAACAGATTTACAAGAATGTTGCCAGGGTTAGAGGGTTTGAGCGATAGGGAAAGGCTGAATAGACTGTGGCTATTTTCCCTAGAGCGTCGAAGGCTGAGGGGTGACCTTAGAGAAGTTTATAAAATCATGAGGGGCATGGATAGGGTAAATAGACAAGGTCTTTTCTCCGGGTAGGTGCGTCCAAAATTAGAGAGCATAGGTTTAAGGTGAGAGGGGAAAGATTTACAAGGGATCCAAAGGGCAACTTTTTCAGACAGAGGCTGGTGCATGTATGGAATGAGCTGCCAGAGGAAGTGGTGGAGGCTGGTACAATTACAACATTTAAAAGGCATCTGGATGGGTATATGAATAGGAAGGGTTTAGAGGGATATGGGCCAAATGCTGGAAAATGCGACGAGATTTATTTAGGATATCTGGTTGGCATGGATGAGTTGGACCAAAGGGTCTGTTTCCATGCTGTATATCTCTATGACTCTATGTTATGGTCCAGAAGAAGGCCATTTGGTCCACTGTGGCCGCACCGGCTCTCCAAATGAGCTTCATGACTTAGTGCCACTCCCCTGGCTTTTCTCTATATCCCTGCATACTGTTTCATTTAAACTATCATCTGATGTCCTCTTGAATGCTTCAATTGAAGCTGTCTTCACCACACCTCAAGGTAATGCATTCCAGACCTGAACCATTCATGTGGAGACATTTCTTCCACATCACATTGGCTTATTTTTCAGTATCGAGATGTTTGCAAATTGAATATAGACTTAATGAACACGAGGAACTTGACTTTAATATAACAATGATATCTCTACAAGAAGCTCAACATAATGATGAGCTAAATAGCTTGATGTCATCAAATGACCAGGAACTAGTGTTATTCTATACTGTGGTATCCTTGACATAAGATGTGTCTAGACATTACAATCTACTGTCTGTACTAGTTTAGCTGTATAAACCTTGCACAGATCTTCAAGTGAACAGAATCTATGTACCTCATTTTTGTTACATTTAGAGAACACAACATCCAACCATATGGTTCAGAGTGTGATTATTACTCCATGGAATATAGCTGTGATTGTTGCTTTAAAGGGGGGAAAAAAATCAAAGCAGGCCATATAAGCTTGAAGACCAAAGTGAGAAACAGCAACCAAGATAATAACAGAACATAAGTTTTCATAGATAACAAAGTGTAGAGCTGAATGAACACAGCAGGCCAAGCAGCATCAGAGGAGCAGGAAAGCTGACGTTTTGGGCCTAGACCCTACTTCAGAAACGGGGGAGGGGAAGGGGGTTCTGAAATAAATAGGGAGAGAGGGGGAGGCAGATAGAAGATGGATAAAGGAGAAGATAGGTGGAGAGGAGACAGACAGGTCAAAGAGGTGGGGATGGAGCCAGTAAAGGTGAGTGTAGGTGGGGAATTAGGGAGGGGATAGGTCAGTCCAGGAAGGACGGACAGGTCAAGGGGGCAGGATGAGGCTCGTCGGTAGG